GTTTTGTATCGTAGGCTGGTTCTAGTTATTTATGGGTGGTACACAAAAATAAAGGGACTCCTCACGTAGCTGTTTTGGGGCTGTTTCAAACGATTTAAGGATGAAATGATGACGAAAATGTGCCAAAAAATGACAGTAAATGTCAATATCAGACAGATGTCTCATATCCAGAATTGTTCTGTTGCGCCGCCCTGAAATTTCCGCCCTGGATGCCTTTAGAAAAACATATCAATGATATGATCTTAGCAGCTTCGCAATGTCAGAGCTGAAAGGGAAGAATTCTGTTGGACGTGAGAGTAAAAAGCTTAGAAAAGTTACTTTGGATAATGTAATCACCCGACGGTACAGTTCCCGTGATTATCTGCATGTTATATGTCGTGAGGGCGAGTTTGTGTGTGTATACCTGGGAACTAGCGTGCGTACAGGTGACCGCTGGGTCTTTTGAACCGCCCCGCCGGTAGCTTTGTATTCAGCTAGCCGCCTCTGTAGCAGGCTTATAGAACTGGGGGTTTGGTGATCTTCGCTGTTTTCTTAGTCTCTACCAGACTAACTACGCTGGCTGTATATAGGAGAATATTTGCCAGGGGAGTTTGACCGCCTTGGGGTTTGACTATGCCGCGGAGAACGAAACTACCTCCCCGCGGCCGGACTCCCTTGGCCAATTTGATTATCTTTTTTGCCGAATTCTACGATCCGTATTCCCGTAGAAAGGCCTGGTGGAGGCTACTGTTTTCTGATTAGTCCAGTTCTAAAAACGGGGGTAATTCAACCAGGCCGGCTATGTTGTTCATATGCAATAAGAAAATAGCACATAAAAGCTCCCAAAGACCCTGAAGACCCCCAAAACCCCCAGTTTTTGGCATGCTATGGAGGCTAGTATTCAGTCTTGTATTTCACATCCCCAGCGATACAATTCTCTACCTGGCATTTGTTTCCATTTCAAAATCGCCCTTGCGTAGTGACGACACGGAAAACGGTTCGAGTAGCATTTAAAACACGCCTGAGGCAAAGGTTTTATTGTTCAATTTCCGAATAATAGATCAATGCAAGTAAAAACATGTCCACAAACATCCAAGATATTATGCAATAAGATAAAAGCAAAAGAAACAAGACAAAGTAAATGTATTGATGACTGGAGTGAAACACTTGATGTTACAAATTTGGATAAGAAATTGTTATGGAAAAATTTAGTAGTAAATATTAAAGAAAACAAATTGAAAGAATTCAACTTCAAGCTATTGCATAATATTCTTCCATGTAGAGTGAAACTGAACCAATGGAAAATTAGGAATCAAGCTGGTGAAGTATATAGTCCAATGTGCTCACTATGTAATGTTAAGGAAACCTACATTCATATGTTTGTTAATTGCAAAAGGTTGGGGAGCTACTGGCAAAATGTTGAAAATAGATTGACCATTTATCATGGCACTAGAATTAAGCTAAACAATTTGTCAATTTTTTTTGGAATGGATCAAAATTTTGGAAGTCTTAGATACAAATATCATTCTGGCGATCACTGTAGCAAAATTTGTCATTTACAAATCCTGGCTGGAATCTAAAGATAAGGATAGCATTCAACACAACCTATTTTATTTCTTTGTAACTGAGATGTCCTTTAGACATCTATAATTCTGTTCAGTGCATTGTATGTTGTGTATATGTGTATATTTTGTAAATATTTTGTGGCTTGGTCAATAAAGTTTTTGAAAAAAAAAAACATGTCCACCTATCTTTTAAGGTCAATAATACAGTGTTCGCATGCTGCCTTAGGGAGGGGGCGTGGCCACTACTCTACATAGAAACACTCTGCGTCCGCTTTTGTTTTACTAGCTAATCTCTTTGAAGGTACTAAACTATAGAGAAAATGTTAACTATTGCCTCTCGATGTAATTAGGGCTAAAAATTCTCTCCACGCAGAAATTTAGGCTTCGTTTTAGAGTACTGATATATTTTTTCGGGTGGCAAATTGAAACTGCCTGGCCAATACGGTCTTGCAGTAACTGAAAAATCTGCTTGAAGATTGAGCTAAAACTGTAAAACAGACAGAGTCGGCATCGTCACATCAGACAGCAACAACGCACGGCTCAACTTTTATTTACGTATCTGTGTTAAGAATGGATTTGGTTTTTAGTGCCAAAAATGTTGCTCGTAGCGGAGGTGTTAAAAGCCACACCGACTGAGTGTTACTGGCGCGCACTGAAAAACAGCTTGAGAAAATGTACGTAGTGAAAATAAAGATAATTGTAGAGGTAAGATAATAGGTGGGGACACTACAAATGTGGATCACCCTGATTGAATACATGTTGCTTTGAGATGAAGATTGAAAAGGCAGTTTGACTATTTCATGTAGAACGTGCGTCTGTCCATATTGACAGTGCACTTGAGGTCATTTTCCTCGCGTGCGAGTTTCTAAAATGATGATATTGCCTCCGAGTCAATGCGCGAACCGCTTCAGTGAGCAGGAACAAGCAGCGCAGTGCCAACAAAGATGTGGGTGTGCGCTGCGCGCTTGGCTAAGGGCCACTGACTGAGAACACGTTAAGTACATGCCGGTAACTAGAGGTCTTGACAAAATTATCCTGTGTAAGTATAGTTTCGTGTAAATGGTTTCATGAGAAAAAAAAAGACAAGAAGTATTTAACAATTGGTGACGCCAGTCCCAGTTAGTGGGGTAGACTTTTGAAAAGGCCACCTCTAGGGCAGTGCTACTACCTTGTAGGGGGGGGGGGGTACAAAAGTAAGCAGAGCTACCTTGTCGAACCACATCCCACGCTCCTTCTGTGCCTTTTCTCAGATTCACCACCGCTACAGAATAGAAATGAAGTTTAAGGTCGTGACAGTGCCTCCAGAACGTGTAGCGCATTACGGTCACGGTCATGGCGGCCGCCCTGTTGGAAAGTTATCTTCGAAACGGCATTGTGTACTGACTCGAACCGCATTTTGTGACTTGTAAATGGCAAGGCTCGATGGCAAGGTCTCGGTTAGAGGCTTTTAATTATTTTCTTTCTAGTCTAGGAAGTAGCGTAGGTTCTATTTTTGTGGTGCAACCAGGCAGATGTCCATACGTCAACGTCAAAAGTACTGAGAAGTGACGGAGATAAGTATGGCTTCACACTGTGCCGGTATTCAGACGGACACTGGGCTCAATGGAGCACGGGAGTACACTTCATGAATTCTCAGTTACTGAGTCTTTGTTGTGGCGGAATCCTTGGCACACCACATCAGTCGGAGTCCTCATGCATCTTTCCACACACAGTAGCGTCAGCCTAGAGACGCGGCACCCCGTGATCTCACCGTTAACCGATCACTCCGCGCGGCCCACTCAGTCACTCAGACACACAGCCTCTCTGCACGCGAAACGTTCGCCTAGCTGGGAGCAACTCTCGAAAAACGCATTTTCCGTAGAACGGAGTGATTCGACGAGAGACGGTGTTACCACCTCTGACGGACGCAAACGAAAATCGCGTTGCCATGGTAGTGTGATTGGTATCTGCACCAATCGAAGCCAGTCTTTCCCAATCTTTTTATCACCCGACCTAAAAGTGGGCCAGCAGGATGAGTCGTGTTAGCGGCACCACCACCACTCTCTCTCACACCGTCTCCGCGCAGAGACCAGGACCCCGCCCCGCAGCCACTTCTACTCCGACCAAGAAGAGAGTGTCAGGCTCGCCCAGAAGCATGACTGACGCCATCTACTCGGCGCGTTTCAGCACTTCCCCGGCGATGTCTAACTACAACTCCGCCACCAAGACGCTGACCACGACGTACCGCCTGGGCGGGGGAGGCACCAACAACCGGACGTCCCTAACCGGCAGCCGACCGTCGGCTCCCGTCACCACCATGCGCCGCACCACCATCGCCGCCTCCCGCCCCAGCGCCACCACCATCAGCGGGGCCATCGCCACCTCCAACGCCCTGCAGATCGCCGAGAACCACGCCTTGCGCGTGCAGGAAAAGGAGGAGATGCAGACGCTGAACCAGCGCCTGGCCGGCTACATCGACAAGGTGCGCTTCCTGGAGACCCGCAACGAAGAGCTGGAGATCGAGGTCCGCTCCCTGCAGGCCGGCCACCAGAACTTTCACCAGATGAAAGAGATGTTCGAACAGGAGATCCGCGAACTCCGCCGCGCCATCGACACGCTCTCCAACGAGAAGGCCATCGTGGAGGTCGACAGGGGCAACCTGGAGGAAGAACTGGACCATACCAGGCACCAGTAAGTAACCCGTCTTCTCATGGATGGTTTGTCACGAGTATGGTACATACTCGTATATAGGTATTCCTTATGTTGTGTTGGTGAAGGTTAGACATCCAGGTAAACAATACTCCTAGACAATTCAAACTATACTAGTACTAGTACTGGATACATTCCACCACTCTTCTTCAGCGTCACTAATAATTATTGAAACGTCCTGAATTTATTTCCATGATTTATCCAGTAGTAGAGTTTGAATTTTCGGAGTACCTTTTGTTGTGTATTTAAGAATCTTGGCGGCAATGTTTATTGTGTATGATCTTATTTCAATCCATGTATGTCCCAGAGGAAGTACGTTGAGCTTTCTTTTTTCGTGGACGGTAGTACAATGAAGACCTTTATGAATGTGTGCCCCCAATGCTGTACAAATTGCTTGCTGTGTTCAAAAACCCACCATATTGTATACCTGCTGTGTAATGCGATGCAACACACATTGTTTGAGGAATGTATAATTGATTTTGAGGATCAAGACATAAAGGCCAGAGACGGGTGTCCTTTCTAACTCATTCACTGCTCCATCTTTTCTATTGTTCGCTCCGAGAGATGGATCGATATTATGCACAAACACAATGGACGGTCACTTATGCGTTTGATTGATATGTTTTAGCGAAGTGAATGTATCGGTATAACCACATCTGGGACATACCTACAATCTACATCGCAATGATTCGTGTACTTGCTGTGCACGATAATTAACTTGCAAGGCTTTTATATATTGTCTGTAAGTCGAAATGCCAGCGATGTTGTTTCTTACCCTACCACCGTCCTCCCCGTTTGAAATCGGATATGCCTTTCTTCCAAAGACCTCTGTGGCGTAGATTTTTGTTTTTGTCTCTTTCAGTCGGGTCTTGCGGCCATGACATATTCCCTGACCTGACAAAGTCAACAGACAGATAGACTCTGCCAACGATATTTGTTCCCTTTCCCATGCAAATGTGATCTCTGTACTTTGAAGTCTGGGAAAAGAGTCAACAAGTCAGCCATCGGCGGCGGTTGTTTGACGTTTTGTTAACAGAGACTGAACTCCGCAAATCATCTCCCTGTAGGAAGAACAACTGAACACACTTAGTGGACCATGGAGTGTATTCATAGTATATTCCTGGGTAGTATTTTATCCCATTTGTTCCTCAAAGCACTCTGGAACTCTCAACAAGAAAAACTACGTCAGGACTGCCCGTCTTGTATGAAAACACATGAAACGATTGAAAGAAAATAGAAGAATAATAGGCCGATATATTTTTCCAATTTTTACAGCGACCAAACAGTGAAACATAAAGTTGTCTGTCTAGTGTTCATTTTATCATTAAAAGTACGATTATTACGGGTTGTTAACACCAAAGTACCATCAAATTACTCGCAGATGGCTTTTTAACTACGGCTGTAACAAAGGTAATGTTGTACCTAGCCTGTTATTAGATGGGGAAGTTCCACAGCTTTCGCCCGAAGCTGGGGCGTTCACAACGGTTAGGGGTCAGCCTGACACAATCCACGAGGCACCTCGCGTCTCTCTGTCCGACACAAGGTGTGGTTTGGCACGTCGAGGTGTCCGGATCGCCGCACACTTTGCTCCAATTAAGCCCCTGTCACACATTCACGGATTTGGGCCGCCTGAACGCCCCAACCTAGGTCGGCGAATTCGGTTATTATCTTAGCCTGAGTGTCAGCCTTGTTAGCTTTCGTCCGCTCCCCAAGATCCGCTCCCCGTTGGCGGCTATTACTATTTGGCTTCACCAGCCAAATGTTTCAAAACGTTCGGGGGTTGGTCGGGAGGTCCGATCATGTTTGGCTGTAAGCTAGCAGAACACCAAACGACCATTCGTCAACAGTCTTCTTGGCGTGTTCGGGGATCAACTTTGACTCAAATTTAACTCAACTTCGTTTCCATATAGAAACTTAGACGTGGCCTAAATCTGGTCAGGGTGCTCCCAAACCAGGTCGGCTGGTGTTCGGGAACAGATTCCGGGGAAAGTCGTGAATGTGTGACACGTGCGGGGCTTTATCTCCGTCCTTTGCGATTTTTACTGATTCTTGAAGTTTTATTACAAGCTGAAATAATGAATGTTTTTCGTGTGAACTGTAGATCCGACAGGAAATGTTGAAAGGGAATAAATTGCGACAAACTTTTCAAAAGTACGGCAGGAACTTTTACAAATTTTCCACACGTTTTAAGATCACTTGGAGGGACTTTCCTCTTAAGACGTGTGTCCTTTGTTGCTTTCTGAAGTCAAGTGGTTTCTGACTGCAGGACTTGAAGAGAAGATCTTATGAACATAAAAGACTTTCTCCGAAGTCTACATATACGGACGACATATCTCCTATTTTGGTTCATCACAGATGGTGCAGTTGTTAGTTTCGCTACACGTCTATAATCATAGTCATTACGTCAACTGTCCAGGTCTTTTTTTTCTTCCTGTGGGTCTTCACTGAGTTCATTGACTGCTAGTGAGAAATAGGTCAGGTCATTGTACTCATTTGCCAAATCGTGCTAATTTGTATTTACGACTACAAATCGTGTTAAAGGTGTAGAAATTATAGAGAATATGGGAGGATAATTCTCCTGTAGGTGACTGTAATGTGCGCTGTGTACATGTACCCTGGGGCTGGTCCACCTGCCAGTGTGGTCCGTGTCCAGTAAACATGTCACTGTGAGAGCGAGTACCGCCATGGGAGTCATTCCACTCGTGTCATCACTACAATAATTACTATGTAGGTGTCTCATTAGCAAATAGCGCTGATTTTCTGTGTTAACAAGCAACTTGACAGAACACAGGTGTTCTCTGTGTAGATTTGCCCGATTGAACAACTTCGCGAGCATTGTCATACTCGTATACATGTCATACTCGTATACATGTCATACTCGTATACATGTCATACTCGTATACATGTCATACTCGTATACATGTCATACTCGTATACATGTCATACTCGTATACATGTCTGATACTCGTATACATGTCATACTCGTATACATGTCATACTCGTATACATGAGAACAGGACCCACATTGTACTCACCGCAGTAAAGAGTACAGCATGTATGGACCCAGTGTACGGAAAAAATTATCTCTCTCGAGGTTACTCTATTTTCAAAAACCTCGTCAATAGACTATTTAAACAGAGGTCATTTGGATACAGTAATGATTGTCCTAGAAATAAGAGGGGGAAGAGCGTTGGTTGTTTTGCTAATTAGTAAGTTTTAAGAAAGTTGCAGTCGCCCTGACTCTCAAAGTAAGTAAGTACAGGGGTATTTAAATGGTTTTATTGTCCAAACAGATGCAGAATTGATGCAGCGTATTGATGCAGCGTATGGCATAATAATCAATACAAATCACAACAATTAAATAATACACGACACACACATTTACTCCACAATTTTTTTTTTGAATTTTCGCAAGGGTCTGTGCGGCTGCCATTCGGCGCCACAAGGTGACCTCAATACGACTTTCCCCCAACCGAAGTTAGGTACCCATTCACACCTGGGTGGAGTGAGGAGAGTCGTGTAAAGTGCCTTTCCCAAGGGCACACCGTTCAGACATGTCCCAGGTACAACTCAGGATCGAACCCGGATCTCCCCGCTTCATAGTCTAATGCTCTACCACTACGCCATCCGACGGGTCCTTTCTGGTTTGAGTGATTCAGACCTTCCAGTCGTCCGATCTTACGCAGCTTGTACTTTCTGTACACAACCGATGTGTTACGCCTATATAAAGGCGGTTTACTGGTCACGCGAAACAAACAAAATTCCTAAGGCCACAGCAAATTTTATGGATGACATCCTCCACAGACTCCAAATCTAATGCGAGCGGGCGAAAAAAAACAAGGAGGGTCGAAAAAACAAGGTTCCTACATTTTAAAATTTTGACTCAATCATTGTACATTATCAAATGGTTTTGATTCAGTGGGAACATAACATATATACAGACAGCATCACATTTCACTGCATCAAAGTAAGAACAAAACATTAAATCAGAGCCTTTTCTTGTCCCCTCTCTTCATAGTTATCTGCCATCCACCTTCCGGCATGGCAACAGACATCTTTGCCCATTTTCGGCATGGTGACCACTTTCAGAAGGCAACAAAATTTCTCGTTTTTTTTTTCCCAAATCAGGGGAAAATTAATGCGCGCGTTGATGTCATCCATAAAAATTACTTGTTGTGGCCTAAAACTGATTCTCTTCCGCACGTCCAGGTTGGAGGAGGAGAAGCGGCTTCGTCAGGATCTCGAGTCGGAGTTAAACAGGACCAGAAAGGTAACCGACTAGTGGGTTCAAAAAATGTACTGCTAGAATTTATAACAACGCTAAGTTATATACAACATGCGTGGATGTGTATTCATTGGTTAACAACGGTAAACAACATTTTAAAGCTGTATTAGGACGATACCAGTAAATTTTCTGGTCATTTCTTTACAAAGTTAGTGGAATCAACTCTCCATTGCAAATAATAAAATAAGTGCCATTCAGGAAGTGAAGGTGCCAAAATATGACGCCTGTGTTTAAAAGCTAGAAACACAGCTGTCAGCCATGATTATTATTTTCAATGTGAGATAATCGCACAAATATGTTGAAAAGTGGAAGTGAATTACAATCACACGAATATCTTTTGAGACATTGGCGCTGTTACATAATGCCCCTTTAAAGCAATATTTCAACACATCCCGGCAAAGCAATACCTTTTTACTATATTTACCTTAAGGTTGACAATATTGATAAAATACTCGTAAAACCCCTCCTAATACATGTTTGTGTATCTTTTAATGAGAAGTTTAATTGCAAATTCATGACCGAAGGCTAACTGCAAGTTACAAAGTGAACATTGAAACAGAGTATGAAATAACTTCAAAATGTACATAATGAAATCTAATTGTCTAAAATTATTGCTATGTCTAAAACTTTGTCTGAAGGGTTTTACTTTATTGCATACAAACGTTTTTTTTTCCTGAAAATTTTCCCGAAGGAACTGAATAAGGTGGATCTGGCCAGGCAAGACATGGAGACGAGGTTAAAAACAGCGCTTCAAGACCTGGACTTCTCCAAGGACATCCACCAGCAGGTACTGACTGTGATTGACATGTTGGGGGGGGGGGGGGCACTAAAACGATTGTCAATGTTCTGGTGATTTTTAGATGTAGTATATGTAAGTTGAATCAACCTTCTTGCCTCACAGAAATCAGTATAATAATGATAATATCATACTGATAGCATACTGATTTCTGTGAGGCAAGAAGAGGTTACATTTGCCGTCTCAGAACACAACCAGAGGGCCAAATATCTAATAATTTCGAGGTCTCATCAAGACCTACCCACCTACCAAATATCAAGACAATACATCTAAGATACGTCGATGAAGGTTAGACATCCAGGTAATACGATATGCCAAAAAACAGTTACTCAAGCAACTGGATATGATTTTGAAAACGTCAGACGTTTCAGCTAGTATCCACTAGCTTTCGTCAGTGACTGAGAGACCAGAGGGGAAAGCAGGTTTATATACACAACCTGTTGATTGATATGCAAATAAAGTGAAGACAAATTTTTGGAACATCTAAGCTTTCTCGAGTTATTATGTTTTGTCGTGCCATGATGCAAATTAAAACACGGTCGGTAATCGCTAAAATATGTGCTGTTGGACACATTATAGGAGCGGAACAAAGGCACCAACTATGTACATACATACTCTGTAGTGGTGACAATAGACAGACACCGTCAACAGATCTAGAACGTGTCTGGTGTCACGCCACGTCTCGTTTTGGGATGAAATATTACAGAGAAAGGAATGTCAGGTACATCGAGGGTAATACTAGGAGTGCGCCAGCCGTATGAAAAGAAGGAAGGGGGGGGGGTGAGTTAAGTCCAAAACCATGGTCCTCTCTTGTTTCACCGACTGGGTGAAGAAAGAGAGGACCGTGACACACATCCCAAGAATGTACGTTTTTGATCGTGCCATGTTACAACGCTGCCTATCCTTTTCTCTTGTAACTGCAGGAGATCGAGGCGCTCCGTAAGCAGCTGGAGGAGCAGAAGGCGGTGGTGCAGATCGACAGCGGCCGCAGCATCTATGACGAAATGGCTATGGCGATGGCCAACATGAAGAAGCAGTACGAAGCCCTGGCCAAGAAGACCAAGGACGAGTCTGAGCAGTGGTATCAGTCCAAGGTACGATGTTTACGGTTTTATTACAGTGGTACCAGTCCAAGGTACGATGTTAACGGTTTTATTCGTGTCGGAAAGCTAACGAGGCTTTTAATTACAAACTCCCGTTGGCGCGTCGTACGTATACAGTCGTGGGACTTTCAAGCAGGTTATGACACAACCAGCCGCCGATATTAGGATCTAAGACAGCCTTTCGGTAACAAGACAGTTGACTTTGGGGTGACACATGCACGATTATCCCAAGAATGCCCTCAACTTGCGATCGGGCCCTTAGGTTTGTTTATCCTTACTTATGACAGGCGATTAGCAGTAACTAGCAATGATTGAAAAAGCCACGTGCACAGTGCAGCAGAGGGATTCTTGGATAGCATCTGATCAACGATCATGTTAAGATAGTGACATTAACATAATCTCAAAAGAAGTCCTCGCAAGCTTAATGATATTGAAGACGAACAACATTTTATTTTGAATTGTACACTATATAACGATAAACGCACAAAGCTGTTCAACCTTCTCTCCGCCTGCTCAGCAGAATTTGTTACATTTCATGCTATAGATAAATTTAATTTCGCTGCACTTTTCTTGTGTCAATTTAAGTTCTCTGTATCTCATGTGTTGCCCCTCTCTCCCCAGCTGCGTGACATCACAGAGAAGTGTGACCGTGCGGAGGACGCGCTGCGCCTGGCCAGGCAGGAGGCTCTGGAGAACAAACGTCAAGTTCACGTCCTCACCAGCGAGGTGGACACGGCCAGGAGCAAGGTCAGGACAGCAATCTGACTAGGAAACCCAGTCTCTGCCAGGATCCAGAGGCGGCTGGAAAGAGTAGAAATTGCTAAAAGACAGATAACGTGTTTGGGAGTTGGTCATGTTATCTGTCTTTTTGCCAATTTCTACTCTCCAGTCGCTCCTGAAGCCTGATAAAGGCTATAGAAAACCTGTACATCAGTGAATTCATATGGAGTAAATGCTCATTTACTGCACGCCGTGCACGGTATTTCAAAGTGGTGTTTAAATCACGCTGCGCTCACTCGGCGGTTCAGTCGGTGGTTATAGGAAATGACCAGGACTTACGACACCTTGATTATGACTGTATCGCTGTTACACTCCGCAATAACATTATTACATATTCATTTCCATTCCATTTGTTCGTCATCGTCGAACTAGTAATGTTTACCTCCGGGTACGGACTTGTTTGGGCGGTTGAGCTGTGGGTTTGTGTATCTGTAATTTTCTGGACAAAGAATGTTGATAGCACGTGTTGGGTGGTAGATTGACAGGCAGAATGACAACTGACCAACGTCTCAAAAGTCAATGCAAGATTTTTTTATTTCTTTTACCGAGTCCGTTAACGTTCTTTTGTTTCACCAGAACGCCATTTTGGAGAAGAGTAACCGTGAGTTGGAGAGCAGGTCCACCGGCGATGTAGACCAGCTGACCTCCGTGGTGCGCAGTCTGGAGGACGAGCTGAAGCAGATCAAGGACGAGATGGCGAAACAGGTGCAGGACTACAACGAACTGATGAACGTCAAGCTGGCCCTGGACGTGGAGATTCAGGCCTACAGGAAACTACTGGAGGGCGAGGAGACACGGTAGGACTATTGGTGCTTTCTTTATTGCGGGCTATTCCCGTTATTACTCCGTGAAGGAGGTATCCCTCCCTCCTGCAGGAGTATTGTGGTCAGTCAATCCATTTAATCCTTCTCAAGTTATCGTGTTTACAGATACAAGCACACACAAACACACACACACACACACACACACACACACACACACGAACGCCTACGAAAACATAACCTTCTTGGCGAAGGTAAATATCTGATAAGTTTGAAGTGTTCGGCTAAAAATTCATGGTGTTTTCCGTTCATGGTGCTGGAACCAAGCTTAACTATAGATGTGTTTTATTTTTGTTTACCCTGTAGAATGGACACTTCCCGCCTGAACTACTCCCGGAACAGGTCGTCGATGATTGTGGACGATCTTGACGACAGTAAGGAGGACCTGAAGCTGGAGGAGACCGGGGTGATCCGCATGACTGTGCAGAGTGAGAACATCGCCGGGCTGCTCAAGGTACGTTTGGGATGATCTACACTGAGTCGATACGTGACTTTTGTAATTTTGTCTTGCTTAAGAGATGCGTTACATTTCACAACCACGTTCCGACCTACTCCCGAACACCAGGAAACCACCAGGCAACAATGGCCTAACCTCCTGTCCACACCCTAATGTTTGAAACGTTTGAAATATTCAGCTGGTTGAGAAGTTCGGCTAGTGTTCAGGAAGCCATAATCTGCTGTGTGTGTCTCATTTCAAACCTCCTTGGTGTGACAGGGGCTTTAGAAATTGTTAGTATTTTCTGTTGTTTCAGGGCCGCACGTTTTTCCTGTCCTTCCGTGACTCTGAGGACGTCCTGGAGATGCAGAACGGCTCGGATGGACCTCAAGTCGTCCTGGCCGCGAAGAAGTCTCCTCGCAGGTTCTTACATTTTATATCTAGCTTTAAAGGAACACCGAAACAAGAATTCGGAGATCTCAGACCTCCATGACATATTTAGATCTTGTGTGATGGTGACTGTGTTCTCTTCACCATGGTGTCTACATGTCTTTCATCAGCTGTCAGCTGTCAAGGAGGCCTAGGTCATACAACGAAAAAGAAACAGCGAGCGCTACCAGATGCAGATGTGATTAATGACTTAATGACTGAACCCAAACACTGATATCCATTATAACACAGACATGCACAAGGACACACACGGAACGGAAAGGACCACCAAGCATGTATATGAGAGAATGCTTCCGAGTTATGTGTATGAAATATTGACTCAGAAATAGATGTGGTCTAATGTTGAATTCTGTACTCCCTCCAGTGACAGCCAGCTGTGGTCCTACACCGACGGTCTCCTGGCGAACAGACAGAACGGACAGGTGCTGCACCTCCCTGATGCGTCGGCAGGGAGCGCTGTGAAGGTGGCCAAGAAAACGGGCAAGCAAGATCAGAAGTGGATTGTAAGTAAACCCCTCCTTGCCCCGCTAACTCACACATAAACGTAACGTAACATACACTTGACTGAGGTGGAATCATACAGATCGCCAGCAGCAAAGTAGAACTTTCACAATACCTTAATTCATCGTGATTACAACTCCTAGTGACCCTCCTATCCTGGTCCCTTAACCCAGGGTCATGGGAGCACTGTATGGTGGAGTGTCTTATATTTTGACCACTTGGTACTTTCCTGCTGTAGATCCGAGGAGACGGGTACATCCTGTCGGACCCTGACGAGCTGGCCATGGACGTGTCTGACGGGAAACTCGTGGTTCAGAACAAGAAGAAGGACGGTCAGGACTGGGACGTGGAGATCTACGAGACCGTGTAGCGTATATAACGTTCCAAACCTACCGCACTAACCAACTAACCACAGGCCGGGTGTTCATGGACGTCTGACACGGATTTAAAGGCATCTAATGTCATTTCAGGGCGGCGAAACAAAACATATTCTGGATGAGGAAATATGTCTGATATTGACATTTACTTCCCATTCTGCATATTTTACTTGAAGCATTTGAAATAGCGCCAAAACATGCGACAACTATGTTTCGGGTACCACCCATAAATAGCTAGAACCAGCCTACATACGAAAAGCAAGTAACTGTTTTCCGTCAGCGATATCACATTTTTCCTCATAGATATCAGTCTGCTTTGGAATAAGGTTGATTCAACTTACTACCTTAAAAGAATGGCCGCAACACAACTTACTACATTACTACATTAAAAGAATTGACTCGGAAAATCCAGTTTTGCTGCTCTGAAATTGTATTGGATGCGTTCAATGGACGTTTGACGGGAATGTAATGCACAGCACCTTTGACGTACGTAACAGGACGGTTCAGCGTGGTATAAAGAACCTTGAGACGGGAGCAACTACCATTTTCCTTTAGTTAAATGTGACCGAAGTACATTAAAACTTTTGTTCTGAGAGAATAAAAGTTCTGTACACCTCAACCCACCCACCGGTGTAACACACTTCGGCACATTTTGTTGCTAAAGAGTAAAACACTGTCCTACAAAATGATATCACACTTACTTCATTAAAATTTCGGCACATTTTCTGGTTACAAGAATTGATGTAAAATTAAAACTAAAAGCAAAAAAAAATCTTATTACGCAAAACCAAGTTATTTTGGACATTGATCATTTGTCAATATCATATCATATTTTTGTTGCCAATCAAAAAATTTTCAAATAGATCGACCTGAAAGAAATGGGATGGCCATTCCCTTCAAAATTTGTAAAAAGCTGTGAAGAATTATAAGAAAATGAATTATAAAGAAAATGTAGGTGAGTATCGGTGAAACAAGTGGCTGTATAAACTGTCCACTGTGTCTTGTTTCAGACGAGAAACGGTTCAACAACTTGTACGTGCTGGCCTCGACATCAACGTCTAACACGGTGCTAATACTGACCCGCCGGTGCTACCACTTCTACTGTTACTCCTTCTACTACTACTGCTACTATAACTTCAACATCAGTACCTTCGCTACCTGTGAACACTCTAACTCTTAATACTCACCAGTAATCATTAACAGTGGTCAAAGCGGGATGCAAAGACCATGTGGTGTCGGTGGTTTCGACAAGGCGTGGACACGTTTTTACACGGTCGGTGGAGGGACACTCATCATCACGATTGTTGTCGGTACGATGGAACATTGGCCCCGCTCCGCTCGTTTTCCAGGGGCTCCAAGTCGCCTTTCTTGATGAACGGGACGGGCGGGAACACTTGGCACAAAGAGAGCATCACAGCCGCCGAGGAGATGGAGAGTCTTCAGAACGACATTGACATGTACGAATCTAGGGTGTAAAAATCAACCAAGGGGTCGTCTACCCTTGTGTGAAATGTCCTCAAAGTCAACAAAAGGGGTCTTCTACCCTTTCTATCATTTATGGAAAGTAGTTATGTAGGGGGCAAATATTATTGGTGAGGTATGAAGACTTTTGAATTCAATAACGTTAGCACGTGGCAGGGGTAAGGTCTGTATTTCACACTTTCCAAAAACAATTATCTATTGAGGATATTTAGAAGGCATGATATTTGAAACATTTGCCCACATTGGAAATTGTTACGTTCATTAGTTAAAACAAGTCACAGCAGATGAATTTGCAAAGACCGATTAAGATACAAGTTGCTCAGAGACATGAAGATGTGATTTGATGATCATACTCCATAAACTTACTGTCAAAGGTTCATTTATTATCAGTCACCAAGTCATCTTACTGAATTGTACTTGATGACGTTTGTACAAGGTTCGCATGGCGTGGTGTGTTTTCAAAAGAGATACCAGTAGTCACAAGCTGTTGAGAGGACAGGCAGGTTTTGGTGTTTTAAGTTGGACCTGGTTTCCAGTGGATATAGAGCTGTAGGTTGGGAGGGGTGGTGGATTATACTCGGAAGTTCTTATCGAGTAGATGTAGATGTATCAGGGTTAACGGTGTGATATGTTGTGCTTTTTTCTTTATAAGACAGTAAGGAGACGAGTGGAGAAGAATATTTCATACGTATGATATACGTAGTATAGATGCATGAAGACAAGTTTGCATGAAGGAGTGCACGTTTTAGCAATGACGTTTGTCCATTTTGATGTCGATATTCAGTATTTAATTCAGCATTCTTAAAATCCAAGACAGGCGCTCATCGTGATCATCTCGTAAGTTCTCGCGAGATAAAGCAATACCATGAAATCCAAACATCAGGTGGATCTCACCATAAATGGCCGTGTATCTCGTATCTCAACACATTTGGATGTTATCATAACGATGTCTTCTCGAATATTCAGTCATATATTTTCTGCTGCGATTTGTTGCCTAATACTACAGAAAAGGTTGAGTGATTTTTACAATAGATTGGCTGATGTAGAGATCACAATAAGACTACAATTGATACCAGATAATTGTAAAGCAAGGTGCTAATGTTTTTCCGGTGGTCTTTACATATTTTGCTTCTGTTTGGTATTTTCTTGTGCTAACGGATGATACGGTATATTAAAGGTGGCCAGAGGAAAAATAAGGACTGTCTCTCTTTATTGTGAAATTAGCTTCTCTGAAAGACTGTCTCTCTTTATTGTGAAATTAGCTTCTCTGAAAGAATATCATCTATTTATTTATTCATTATTCATCTATTGAAAATTTACTATAGATCTACATGTACATCTAGATGTTTCGCACACAAAACTTTCAGATGACTTTCAAAACATTCACAGATACAAAATGTACAAGAATTAACAACAAAGATGTCAATATAAAATAGAGAGGCTCAAGCCTTCACAAATGACAGACGTCAACCCTTTAGGTACATTGCAGGAAATTTGGTTAATGTGATGTAGAAATGTTAGGCCCGCAACAGTACAGTTCGGCCTTGAAGTTAAAGGAAACTCCCGTGCAAGAAGTGGATACAAAACAATAGACTGTTCATCAAAACATCGTAGCCGTTATACAGGTTGTGTGTTGTTATAATAATTAGCCTCGTAACCAGACTTCGATGAAGGACACGGAACAATAGAATCTGTAAAAGATGACAAAGGGCTGCACGATGTTGCGTAGGACGGACCACGTGATCGCACCGAAGTACTCGACTTGAACCAGGTCCGTTCCGTCATCCTTTGCGTCGTTGGTGCAGACGGCAAACAGACTGGCGTTACAGAGAACCAGGAAGACGACGGCTTGTCGGCTCAGGTCCGGGCAGAAGTCAGCGGAGGGAGGGATCCTACCCAACGTGTCCAGAACGACAGCTGACTGCGTCGTCACCAACACGACGTCCAGAAGTGCCTCCACCAGGACTATCCCTGGTATCAGTTCGGGCTGGGTCAGGAAGATGGCGGCCACAATGGTTAATAAGTCCCTGAAGTAGATCGTCGTCACGCAAAGTAGGATGATGATCATGCCCAGGCGATTGTCCCGCTCGGGGTCAAGTGTCCACCCACCTTTCGCCACGGTACGCCGTCGCCGAACGCAGGTGAACACACAGGCTAACGTCATCGTCAGCAGCAGAACGATTCTGTGGGCGTAGTAGACGACGAAGGCTGCGCTGCCTGGATTCGGGTCGTTATGGTACAAGACAATCACACAGATGGTGACGACAAACAACAAGAAGCTCAGAACAGTTCCTCCGTTAGACTTCTCCATGGACCATCGCCGAGGGGGGTTCTGGGATGCCTCGTTTGCATCCGCCATCTTGGTCCAAAGAATCAGGATGAGGCCGACACTGAGGATGTAGAACTCCACGTTACTGGGATACAAAACTGGGTCAAGCGAAGTCAAGAAGGCCCTTTCTCTCAGACAGTCCATGGACGCCCCTGTCACGTTGGTCGTATTTGCTGTTTCGGTGATATTGAAGACTGGGGGGGATAAAGTGAAGAACTTTATTGACACAGCAAAAGTACAGCGACTTTCGTAAGGTCTTAAACTACATGTCAACATACAGACAGATACATGGGTACAACAAAATGACCTACGTACAAAACAATGGATGAATCAACTTATACTATTTGTTCGAAAGTCCAAACATTCTTTGGTATATTTACCTATTTGTACACAGTAAGGGTTATTACCTTCTATGATGAAATTGAATTTATCGAGCATGAAATGTTGATTCCGTTGAGCAAGCAGAAAGAAGGTTATAGCTTTGAAGACTGATAACAAAATGTTATTCGTCTTCAATCTTGGACAGAATGGACAAAACCTTTGGTCAAGGGGGATTTTTTTTATATCTTCCTAATTCTATATTCAATTTGTGACTACAAATTCTTATCTTTGTAATTGATCTACGAACTTCGAAACTAGGTATTTTTTGTCCATATCACTTCTTAAACACAGAATAAACATCATAGTTACGTCGATGAATGTTAGACATCCGCGTAATAAGATACACGAGAAAACAGTTTCATGGTTTTTGGATAAATACCTGTTCAGCTACAAATTCCGTTAGTCACTGGCGAAGAGTAGTGGATATCGATGCTACTTGAAACGTCTGACAGTTTTCGGTCTATCCAGTTGCTTAAGTAACTGTTTTCTTGTGTAAGCATCGTAGTAAAAAAACAAAAGATATATTGTTTAAATACAAGGCATCTTACCTTCGACTTCGTCCTCAACAGACCGTCGCACCACTGCTGCCGGGGTGGCGGTGCTGGTGTTCATGGCAAATGTCGTGGCGGATTCAGCCGGCAGTCCGGACCCGTTGACCGAGCAGTTGGAGACTGCGAAAGCCGCGGGCACTTCTGTGGGTACTGGTTGTCCGAGCGTGTCGGCGGGGGTCAGACGTTTCACGTCTATCCAGGCTTCGACGATGACGGTGCGGATCCAGGCACAGCCGCACGTGGCAGCGGTGTGCATGACTCCAAAACTGCGGTTTGAGAAAACGGCATTCATCACTTCGTTTAGTTTCATAGCAGGGACTTGTGGGTCACTGAATATAGAGAGGAATAGACGCCTACAGATCTATAATACTTATCACGGAATCAGTTGCGTGGTTGGGAGTAGGTCGGTAGGTACCGGTGTTAGCCGTGTCTGCTACAGTTCGTCTGCGCAAGTCGACTAACATTCGGTGTGGACGGAAGGTTCGACCATGGTTGGCTGGTGGTTGGCTGCTGTTCGGGAGTAGGTAGGGGGCGTGGTTGGCTTTCAAATTTGGCTCAAATTTAACTAGATTCTATTTTTATAAAAAGGTAGGCGTGGCCTAAATCTGGTCAGACACCGTACACGTAACGACGCCCACCTGGTAACCATATGGAACCTCCCCCGGCGTGTCCGGTTGTTCCCGGCGTGGTGCCAGAGGTGGTGCACCAGGAACAGGGTGAAAACTGCCTCCGACACGGGCGTCACGGCCAGGATGAGGTTTTCGCATGCCCCGCCGGAGTCGTCGACGCTGGCGTCGGAGTAGACATACGTACCGAACTTGAACGCCGAAATCAGAATAGTACAGAAACCGAAAAACGACGCTGCTCCTAAGTTAAAACACGAATCATTTGTCAAACTTTGGTGAACACTAAGCTTTCGTAATCTCCAAGCAGATCTTTTAGTGGAAACGATCAAGTATCAAATTAGAAATGCAGCACCAGATTGGTGGAGTTATTGAGCTTAACGTCATAACCGTTTTTCCTTCCGATGATTTGTAATTCATCAAACCTATTTTCGGACATGTTTATTGTCGAAACGTTCCGACATTGTATGACGGGACGTTTCAAATTGGCCGGGCAGTATCCAATACACCTTCCTCTCCGGGTGCAAATGGCAACTCGAGTGGCCGATTAGAATCGTCCTCTGTCCCCGAATAAATTGTATAAATCTGATTAAAAGTTTTTGTATGCAGTATTTTTACCTTGGGAAAAATACAGTATGCAGTATTTTTACCTTGGGAAAAATACGAAGATATGTTGAGGGAAAATACGAATTCGAAGATATGCATGTGGAGGACTCTCGAGATTTCTTTCCAGTATGCTTGTCGTTACCGGTGTTCTGAGTTCGAAACCCGGCCGAAATACAGTATGCAGTATTTTTACCTTGGGAAAAATACGAAGATATGTTGAGGGAAAATACGAATTCGAAGATATGTGGAGGACTCTCGAGATTTCTTTCCAGTATGCTTGTCATTACCGGTGTTCTGAGTTCGAAACCCGGCCGAGTCCATGGTATACGTTCATGCTTTCTCAGTGCACAGTAGTTAAAACAAACCACTACCAATGGACTACATCTAGTACATGTACACGTAGCCCGCTGCTGTAGTGACTGTGTGTACCACCCGGTGACTTTGTCGTTCCTCACCTGTTAGATAAGTGTTGACGGTTGAGTTCGACTTGTCATCAGTTCTGCCGCCCCTAGCCGCCATGATGCTACCGCCATGCACCGCGCCCATCCACAGCGCGCCCGTCAGGAACAGGTACAGGTAGAACGCCTCCACGGTCGCCTGGGAGACGTCAGACGAGAACAGCTGGGCCGCTGGCAACATGGCGCCCACGGCAAACATCAACACACCGTACAGGACTCCGAACATGCGCAGCAACATCCACCTAGAAAGTTTCAAAGGGCAGTATATAACATTTTCACCTAAATTGAAATATCTCAATGTCATAGTAGGTTACTTCAACTTTTCAACATAGTTGTGTATCTATCTTACATAGTTGTGCAGTTTTTTTCTCTTTTATAAAGGCAACACTGTATGATTTCGAAACCTGTGTGTGCATACGCAGCGAAGCAAAATCTTTACTGTGCCAGGTTTGGAAGAATTTATGTCGCCTTCTCTCTGCCCTTATAGCTGGCTTGAAAGAGAGAAATATATTGTACTCAGTTGGGCAGTTTTTTATTTACTTCAATTTTTACCTGAAAACAAGGCTCATAAGAACCACTCACATGGTTTGGGTTACAATAACGGGATGTGAAGACAGATGTTTGTTACCTTCGACTTTAAAAGTTTAAGGTTGTACCCATTTAGGAAGCGCATTCATAAGGAACCTTGTTCCGTAGTGATGTAGTTCTAGGAAAGAAGCTTTCAGCGTGGAACTTCCTCCTGAGAGATGGAGGAAGAAAGGGTGATTTGCTTCCGTAGTTGTGGGAAAACGTATCCTAGCCAACAAAGTTCAAAGTGGGGGAACAAGCGAGAAAAGTTCCGCGATAGCGATCGAGTAATACTGGACATACGCCTTTGCTACATTACGGCTTTTTGAAAGGGGTTGTAAGGTGGCGAACAGGTCACAGCTCAAACTTACTTGTCATCTGACGGGCTGTCAGCACCACTTGTACCGTCCTCCTCCGTAAACATCGTGCCATCTGGGATGATGTTTTGATTTGGAGTCGGTTCCCTCTCTTCTTCAGCCTGGAAAACAAAGGTGAAGTGGTTTGTTAAAAACAAACAAACGAATTCTTTTAACAACTCAAAACCCACACAACTTGGAAAAGGTGGGATATTTTGTCTTCCACGGCTTACACTGAAGAAGTCAAACGCCACAAAAATAGTTCTATGCAATTTACCTCCTAGCATGTAGATCAGCCGCTTTCCGATCCTTTTGTACGTTGTTTTATTGTTGCCATGTCCTTGCAATTAACTCTAGGGTATGAACTTGCAATAAAATTAAACTTATTACAATGGACTAATTAGGGTCAATATTCCTATATGCATGTATGCTGACACTTTGGTGGTGAATACATTTTGCTCATTTCTGACAGAAAGAAAATCCTCATAGCTGCCTTATCTCTCAATGTAGTTCCAAGCAAACCGTCTTTATTTCACCGAGTCACACAAACTTTAAAAAGAAACTGCATTTCACGAAATCCTACCTATAAGCACACCTTAATTGCGTAAAGGTACGCGAAAAGGCAGTAGTGGAATCTTTACCCATGCCTTAAGGTGAGCTTAAAGAATTACTAGTATTTTGATGGGGAAGCAGATGACAACGGTGAACCTACCTGTCCACAATATTCCTCTGACACTGAGGACCTCCTCGAGCTGACCGCACTGCTCCTTCTGGAAGGGAAGAAATCCTTATCAGAGCAGACGGAGGACACCTGGCTGGCGCGTTCCACCATGTCCTGGTCTGGATTCTCCCTCTGGTACCTCGCGTAGGTCTTAGTCCGTTCCGCTAAGCTGTTAGCGGTGGGAATGACGTGTTGGCTTCTGGAATAGATAGATTTGTTCCGTTCAAACATCAAGTTCTGGTCCTGAAGAACCTGTTGTGATCTGGTGGACATCCTCGTCTTCTGATGTTCGAATTCCATCGGCCGTGGTTCCACCCTCCTGGCGTGGTGGTGCTGGTAGGGTTTCAGAGGGGCGTCCAGCATCGCAGGCATCTTGAAAGTCTAAGGAAGGAATAATCCAAGCTTCTGAAATTAAGAAATAAAAAAAATGATCTCCAAGTCTAACTCTCTAAGACTGGATACGGTCTGTCAGTTCTCAATGAAAATGAGACTTGGGATCTTTTGGCAGCCGTGTGCGACGACACACGTACACCCTTGACTGGACAAATTCTTCTCTATGTTGACTTGTTTTTCAGATGTTTGTCCTTGTTGACTCATTGTGTCCTTAAGAGGGAAACACCAACCCAGATCTCTCATGGCGACGCCTTAAGAAGTGGCCTATAATGGATGCTTCAATTATTCGTGATGGTTTCCTCTTTTCTAGTGTTTACCGGTGAGTGTCTCATTAAAAACCGTAGCTGTTGGTTCCGAATTACTCGTTCTCTAAGCGAACAGATCGAGAGCACTGCATTAATTTTTTTAAATCTTAAATGTTTGCCTATATATGTTTATAGTTCTATGTTGAGTATTTGTTTGTTTATTTGTTTGTTACTTACTTTGTCCCTAAATCAGTGGCTAAATCACTGGAACGAACACAGAGCAACAAATCCACTTTTTACGTTTTATTTACCCAGCTTCCTGCCCGTGACATTACGCCACTGATACACAATGTAACAGGAAGGTTCACAGCAGCTCTGCACACATGTACCGTCGCCCCTTCCTCAGCCGCTCTCGGCTTGACCTCAGATCAAGCCTCGTCATTACGCACGGCTGGCTACTCATGTACCGTCCAGCTGTTCGTTTTTGATCTTTACCAGAAACAAGCCGTCTCTACCGTAGTGTTTGTTTTTCACACAACTTGATGATTCCCCTGCTTGAAGGCGTCTAATACAATTTCAGCCGGGTGGCGAAATAAGACAAAAATATATTCTGGATGAGGAAATCTGTCTTATATACATGCGCGCTAGCACATTTCCGTCATTGTTTCATACTTGAAACGTTAATTTGAAATAGCCCCAAAACAAGCTACTAGTACGCGAGGCTTTTGGGTACCGCACTACCGCTCATAAATAGGTAGAACCAGAAACCATTTTCCGTCAGTGACATTTTTTTTGCGTAACAGAAAAACACATCACGACGTTAACAAATCTTAACCACATTCAGTATGTTCTTTCTACGAGTAAACTTAAGTATACCACTTGTACATCGCCAAGGAAACTAAAACTAACTCACCTTTACACGCGTACGGCGTACTGAAACATTCCAGTATGTGTCCGGTCTTAATTACATTAGCAGAGATCTCTGTGCTCTAAACAAACCTGCAGCTGGTCAATATTGTATGTTCTCTCAGACTCAGGTACAATGGTTAAATCTTTACCAAGGCTCTGCAGAACACCAAGCTCTAAGCACATCCATATGAAAGAAAACTACGAAAACTACGGAGAACATAGATACAAGTGTAGTATCTGAGTACCTTATGAGCTTAAAACAGAACTGCGACCTCTTCTCTTTACGTCCTCTTATCCTTTTGGTGCATTTGACTTGTGTCTGTCTGTGTCGCTTGGCAAGTCAAGTGTTAAACTGAAGGGTTGCAGTTACTTGAGTCTTTGTACAGCTGTCCTTCTTGTGCCTGTGCGTCTTATTACTGGTTATTGTATTGAACATCTCCAGGGTTTGGAGTGTAAATATGGAGGATTGTGGCTGTACCTGAGATCGATACGTCATTGTGCTGGAGGTTCAAGGCCGTGGGTCTTTTCAGATGTACAGTTTGTTTTGTACATTTAGTAGAAAAACAGCAATACTGTATCGGTTTCTAATGTAACATTCCTCATGAAGTGTGATTAGATAGCAAAAAACGGGCGTTAATTCGTAATGTGATGCTATTCTTCTTCTTCTCACTCATCCTCATCTGAGGTGTAGCTTGTGAAGTTCTGTCTCCAGTACAGTCTGTCATTCATATTGCGGACCGAAGTTCCAATCCTTGCAGTCCAGTTTCAGACTCAATGAGACCCTTGAGTGTTGTGATTGGACGACCAATCCTCCTTTTTGCCTCTGGAGTCCAAAGTAGTAATCGACCCGCTGGTTTTCTGCCACGAGTCACATGACCCGCGAGGCTAAGCCGACGTCTTTTCACTACCGTGGTGATGTTTTGGAGTGTTCCATATAACTGTTGCTATTAAAGACATCCAATGCAATGTCTGGATTTTAAGGTCAATTTCTTGGTCAAACTTTTAATGTATGTTGTTAAAGTTAGCATACTGAAATCTGCTAGACAAAAATGCGATGTCGCTGACGGAAAACGGTTCTTGTTTTGTATCGTAGGCTGGTTCGAGCTATTTATGGGTGGTACCAAAAAAATTAAGGACATCCGTCATGTAGCTTGTTTTGGACTATTTCAAACTCTTCAAGTATGAAATGGTGAAAATATGCTAATAAATGGCGGTAAATGTCAATATCAGAAAATTTCCTCGTCCAGAATATTTTTGTTTTACCGCACTGAAATTGTATTAATGGATGCCTTTAAGTATTCTGTGATGATGATTACATTAATATCAAGTAGAATGTATTCATTCGTCAAGCTAACCGACATCTGTCACACCGCACACCGTTGTGACTGTGTGTAACGTTATAATTACATTATGTCATTGGAATGTTTGACGGTCAATTGTGGGCGGCTATGATTAACGCCAAAATTAACCGTTCATAATATGAGAATAAAAACTTAACGTGTGGCACGATTTGTACGTTTACCTAGACACCGGCTGCCTCAAAATCCGTTTCTATAATCCGATGAACATCTATAATACTCGCGCTCGGCGGATCCCGGCACACCGGCTGCACGGCCACGTCACGCGGCACAGCTGCCACACACGCCGTTGGTTGTGGTGTTTACTCACATCGGTCGATATAAGCGCACAGAATAACGCACTGGCTGGCGTTCTTCTACCGACTAACTACCGGAAAACTACTGCGGCATCACCAGAACTAAGGTTAGATACTGTTTCTTCATTTCAGCCCTATCTTTATAAATGAATGAACATAGAATACTACAGGTGTATTCTATTTCGCCCGAGGTTCGAATTCCAGCCCGACCGCGGGACGGTTAGGACCGAGGGTGATGAGGAATATTCTATCCATGCCATACCCACCCGAGAAAACGGTTATTTCATTGCGAAATGTGCCAAAATTTGGTGTATCTAAACAAAAAGTGTAACGGCGTCAATTCCAACATCCGAATTCGGTGTTTGAAGTTTCGAAAGCGGCACACTCGATGCGCGCGAAACGCGTTCGAATTATTCTATGGAACATTGGGAAGCCCGTGTGATAACAAGAGAGAACCTCGGGCAGTACCGCTAGTTATCATACGGCCCGGAACACCTGTATGGAACGTTATCGAGGCCCACTCGGGTATAACAAATGATAGTACATCTATGCTTCAAGCTAAGTAGAGATATCTTACGAAATCTATACAGACTAATGTACAGGTTCAACTTCTCGCTTCTTAAGGCAGCTATAAGAAGCGTGATGGTTGAGCGGTTATTCGGATCTTTAAAATTTTAATTGTTAGCAATTAAAGACATTCTTCTTGTACTTTCACTTTAAATGGTATATGGGACAATGCGTGCATTAACGTTCCATTGAAAACATGTTCTCTTTCTTGTACCTCCTTTCTTTTGTCACTAATAGAAACTCGATTTGACCTTAACGGTGACTTTTATGTGAAAATGCGAATCTTCAACATTTCAATAAGTATCAAACAGCGATATGATATCTGTTGACAGAAGATTGACAGCATAGAAAAATGGCTCTTACTAGACCCTTGACAATATTTACATTTTGTACTCATTGGTCACCACGTAAGACATGAAGCCTACTCCAAGGTTACGGGTTAGTTACATGATCATGATGAGAACTGTAACAGTATCTTTTGTCTTTAAGACAATATCATGATATTGAGACCAGCTCAAATTCTGACTAGGAGTGAGGACTAACTGACCCGATAGGTGAAGCAGGGGTTACGACGTCTGCTCGGAAAACTCCCTGCCGCATTTGTTTGTGGAAATGTCACATCAGGCCTACATGCCCGTAGCCAGGATTTTGCAATTGAATGGGGGGGGGGTCTTCCCACTGCTTGAGGGGGGCCGTAGGCGCGAGGTTCTTATGAGGGTCCGGGGGCATGCTCCCCCGGAAAATTTAAAAAAAATGAACCTTCTAAAATGGCATTTCGTGCGTTTTTGAGAGGATTTCCAAGAAAAAATCAGAGATAAATTTTTTTCAATGACAAAGGGAGCAGTTTTTCTACGATTCCAGTTCACCTTTTCAGGAAAAATCTTGGACCTTTACATAAAAAGTGGATCAAAATGTGGACCTTTGCATAAACAGTGGACCAAAAAGTGGACCTTTACATAAAAAGTGAACCAAAAAGTGGACCTCTATATAAAAAGTGGACCAAAAAGTGGACCTTTGAGCCTTGACTGGCCCTTGTGGGGGGTTCTTCCAAGCCCCCCCCCCCCTCGGCTACGGGCATGGGTCTACGACCGTACTGCTTGTGTTTCACATCCGCAACCTACACATCCCTCTCTCCAGATGCAGGCTGTACTGTTGACCGTTACCGTCCTGCTCATCATGACACGGACGGTTCTGTTACAACCCACGGACGATGAAGACATCTCGGAGGATGGAGATGAGGAGCCCCACCCACTCCTGGTAACCAAGGAGGCGTGGTTCGACATAGAGGTACCTACTCGTACACTCCGCTTCATAACCTGACATTTACATCGGTCAAACTTTTAAAAATGTATTCTATGGTACGACGAGAATTGCTCCTAATTCCCCCGTCACACATAGCCGGATACGGCCTCCCGAATATTGACGCATTTTATCTCAAATTGTACCCTCTATAGCAATGAACGAAATGAACTCTTTGACGTAGCTAGTAGTTATCAGTAGTTCTACTAATTGTCTGTTTTTATACCATATGTTTCTTCTGTTCCTGCAATTAGCCCTCGGGCACGAATTTGCAATAAAACAATATATTGACAACCTCCCCAACCATGGTTAGGGAGCAAGTCGGCTATGGTTGGCTGGTGTTCGGTGAGGTCGGCTACTGCCAGGCAAGCTGAATGTTTCGTGTACTGATTTGTGTGTACTACATGCTACAAAACAAATATCTACCATCTACTTTTCTGACCGGTACGCTGTGTTTCCCTCTGCCCGCACAGATCGATGACGAGCCGGTGGGGCGGATTGTGATCGCGCTGTTCGGAGAGACCGTGCCGATCACTGTGGAGAACTTCCATAAGCTGGCACAGGGGAACGTGCGGAATGATGTAAGTACTCCGCTTTCAAAATTGAGCTGTGAGGCTTTCTACGGGTTTACCGACGTTGCTGCTCTTCATAATAATATTTCCAATGCTTTACATTCTATCATATTTGTCATTGCAGTAAACGATGTTGTAGTGGCAACTAGCAGTAGCAACCTATGACCTACATTTGTAACATGGCTGCCGTCACTGATTTTACTGTACAGGGGTTGTGTTTGGGTGAACAGTCTAACTAGTTTAATCGATTTAACATATTCCTATATTTTATATAATAGATTGTCCAACCTATGATGAAAACGGACGAAAATTGTTACAATATATTACATGTAAGACCGATATAACGCTACCCCATACAAAGACAGAGATATTTAATATGCTACTATCATGTCCTGTCAATATATCCATTTATGTAGGCCAATTTATACACAATTCGCTGACAAAACGAGAAAATGTAATAAATTCCTGACACAATATATTACTATCAATAGAGTCAGATTAGTATAATTAGTGTCTCTTTATTGTTACACATTGTTTATAAAAGTAGACCAGATTCTTTATACAGTTAGTAGAACTGTTAGATATTTTTAGCATTACCAACTATGTATGTATGTTAGCATCACAAACTATGTATGTATATTTTGCCATACGATGTATCCGCTACATCTGTTGCGCAATAAAGTTCTTCTTCCTGTGTTGCCATTCAGCCGACATTCGGTTACAACGGAACCTACTTCCACCGCGTGGTGCAGGACTTCATCATCCAGGGAGGGGACATCTCGTCTTATGACGGAACAGGCGGTGAGTCTTGTTTGTTATATCCACTCTGACACGTGGATTCTAAATGAAACTGTCTGACACCCTTGTCACACCTATGGCCGAATATGTCTCCTCAACACTGTCACCCCCCCCCCCCAAAAAAAAACACATGGTTAGAAGTAGGTCGGGAGCAGGTCGGCTGGTGTTCGGCCAGGTCGGCTACTGTTCAGCTGCACTAGCGGATTGTTTCAAAATGTTTAAAATATTCGGGTGTGGACGGCTGGTGGTTGGCGGTGGTTGGCTGGTGTTCGGGGGGTAGGTGGCGGTTGGACGTGTTCGGGGGCCAATTTCGACTCAAATGTTACTCAAAGTCGATTCGGTTCGTACAGTAGCAGTGGCCTAAATCTGGTCAGACTGTTCTTTGGACGGCTGGTGTTCGGGGAGAGGTTCAGAATGTGTGACAGGGGCTAAATATACCATTGTAGTGTAGAAAGACAAGTGCACGGTCGTTTGAATGATACGTGACGTGTACACCTCGCCCTCCCCGCCCCTCCCCTCTACAGGCAGAAGTATTTATGGTGACACCTTCATCGACGAGAACTTCCGTTTGGGCCACGCCGGACCAGGCTGGGTCGCCATGGCCAACAGCGGACCTGACTCCAACAACTCCCAGTTCTTCATCCTGCTGACCAGATCACGGTTCCTGGACAAGAAACACGTCGTCTTCGGGAAGGTCATCAAGGGCATGGTGAGTCGGCCTTGGCCCCGTTTAAAGCTGCATTATGTAACATTAGGACCACACACATTTCTGGTCAATTCATTCAAAACAGGTTGAATCACCCCTGCTCTCCATCGCAAATAAGCGCCATTCAGGGGTGTTTGAAATCTGGAAACACAGCTGTCAACCATGTTTTGTTTACATTCTGTTTACATGTTTGTGGTGGTACCAAAAACTGGGTATTAGTTTCAACCATAACTGTCAGAAATGTAGAATAATTGCAAAATATGTTGAAAAGTGGAAGTACATTACAATCATACGAATATTTTTAAAAATAAAATATTTAAATTTAAAATAAACTTCATATATCTAAAAACATCGTAGCAAAGATCTTCAGATCTCTGTACTCGTGTGTAAGTTCGTTTCCTTTCCTGGTAAACAACACTTACGAATCTTCCCGTCCTTCCTGCCCAGGACATCGCCCGGAGTATCGGGGAGATGAGGAGCAGTGCAGCCGGCCTGCCGTACAAGTTAGTCCGCGTGTCTGACTCCTCCTCTGACGCCGTGACAGACCCGTACGTGTTGGACGCACCAGAGGCTATCATCTATGACATCGAACCCGACCTTATTAAACCTACGTGATCGTCAACATATTCTGATGTCTTTTTTTCGACCTCTGTTCGTAACACAATTGTTCTGTTTTATGTTAGGCTACAGCAAGTAAATTTTATGGATGATATCCTCCGCAGACTCCAAATCTAATGCGATAGGGCGAGAAAAAAAACAAGGCTGGCCAAAAAAGACAAGATTCCTACAAATATTGACATCATAAACTTTGTTAAACAAGAAACGATATTTATATTGTGCCAAGTTTACTGCCAACTATTGGAACATTCATTTCTCACTGAAAAAACAATGAAAAACAAAAGATTTCAATCATTTCACAAATGGGTTTGATTCAGTGGAAACATCAGATATACACAGCCACCATCACATATAAAGGAATAAAGTACATCCGACTGCATCAAAGTAAAAGACAAAATATTAAATCAGAGCCTTTTCTTGTCTCCTCTCTTAATATTTATCTGCCATCCACGTTCCAGCATGGCAACAGACATCTTTACCCATTTTCGGCTTGTTGACCACTGTCAGAGGAAACAGGTTCGTTTTCGTCTTCGTTTCCTTTCCTCATAAACAATTGCAACACTTATGAATCTTTCCCGTCCTTCCTGCCCAGGACATCGCCCGAATTTTTTCTCAAAAAATCAGGCGAAAATTTATGCGCGTGTCAATGTCATCCATAAAAATTACTTGCTGTGGCCTTAGATGACATTAGAAGGCATACAGTATTTCCAGCAATGATCCTTCCTTATTTCCCCATTATCGTTTTGTCCATGCCTGGACACAGATGCTTGCTTGGTTCACATTGTAGACGCATGACCACCGATTTTAAACAAATTAAAAGTACGTGACGTGCATAGTTAGTTCAGCACATAGATACATACATATACTAGAGTTCCACGATCTCATACCTTCGCCAAATGATGTTAGCTTTTATGAATAAGAACTTATATACAATGTATTAATCCCCCTGATTATGCAAATAGGATCCGCAATTGCATGAATTACATCTGTTGATCATAATCTCCACCAACAGTCTTATTTTAACAAAGAATGCCATTATAGCATTTCCTCATATATTATGCAAATGAGGTCCTTATTTGAATAAGTTATGTTAAATTATGTTCACCTTCACTAAACTTCAAACACCCCAAGTATAAAATTCCAGGCAGTTACCACTATGCAATTATAACATTTTCTCATTAATTAATTATGCAAATTAAGTCTTCATTTGCATAATCGATATCTGCCTGTGTTTCTCTCGTTGTTAATAACATATGTCGCAAGCTTGAACTTCCTATCATGGAATGCAGCTGATTAATAGAATTTCCTCATTAATTATGCAAATTACATCCATATTTGCATAATTGTAATATCATTATGTCAAGCATTACTCAAGCTACCTACATACCAAAAATCATGATGATCCATCAATCGGTTCTTGAGTTATCCTTCTTTAAACATTTGTCCTTTAAACCCCCCTGC